AGCCATTAAAAAGTATTCTTCTGATGCTAACAGATTACTTGTATAAGGCATTACATTAATTAAAAAAATAAAAGTTTAATCAGTTTCTCATACTAAAGATTAGCAGTAGTCCTTTCTCAAGGTTGTGTTTTCATTATGTCCTGACTATAGAACATTTCTATTGGCTTTCTGAACTAGGGTATCAAACAAAGTGGCAGCCAGCAGGTCCCACAGCAGAGGACTAAAGGTGAGTCCATGGACAACCCTGCTGCTCATGTGCTTGGGAGCAACACTGGTTTCTCTCACACCTGTTGTCAAGCTACCCATTAAGATGCTCTTACTGAGGTCAAAGAAGCTGCTCAAAGAACTGATTCTTCAAAAACAAAGATTGTCATATGAAGCTTGGTTTCTCCCTTAGAGATGAAGTAAGAAAAAAGAGGATGATTCACATATTTCTGTGGTTAATTGCTGGCTGGTGGTTTTAGGCCTCTTAAAAGGGCTGAAAAACAGCTGCTAAAAACTGCTCCAAAGGTCATGACAACAAACCTCTACTATTCCACAGAAATGATAAAGCTATTAAAGAGCTGTTTCCAGGACCCAACCCAAAACACGGGATTGAAAATATCAGGGTTCCCAGGATCCTGAACGAAAAAAATTTTTCTGTATATAGAAATAGAGCACAAATTTTACAGTTTTCCAAATCAAGTATTAATTCATTTAGGCTGTGAAGGAATGTCAAGAATACAAATCACTTCGCCAGGACTTTGTTAATATCAGAATATTATTGAAGGTAGCTATTGGGATAGTTAACATAATATTTACACTTTTTCCCCTGCAATGCTTATCCACTTTCCAAAATAATTGAAAATATCATAAAATCTTGGGTAAACATATTACTGATTTGTCTTTCATATTTAAGAAATTCAGCAAATGATTTTAGAGTGAGCATTTCTATGGATAACTGAGTACAGCTACATATATGGAGATAAGTTTACAAATGGATTGCCAACAGATCTACACATAAGTTATAAATGTAAATAATTTTATAAATTATTTATCTTTTAGAATTTGGATAAAGGGGCCAAGCCCGTGGCGCACTTGGGAGAGTGCGGCGCTGGGAGCGCGGCAGCGCTCCCGCTGCGGATTCGGATCCCATATAGGGGTTCGGATCCTATATAGGGATGACCGGTTCGCTCACAGCGCTCACTGGCTGAGCGCGGTGTGGCCGGTCTCAAAAAGGACAAAAAAGAAAAAAAAAAAAAAGAACTTGGATAAAGACCAGTTGATTTTTCAAAATGAGGAGCAACAAAAACTTTGAAAAGCATAAAGGAAGTCTCAGACTTTCTTTTTTACTCATGACTTCATTTGGTTGATTGGTGGATGGATGAGTTGTGCTTCGTTTCCACTTTAGGACACATTTTCCATTGGGTAAGTACTTTAAGAGAAGAATAACACTGTCTCAGGTGTGGCTCTTGAGATATTTTTAGGATTTCCCTGGACATAAGTAGGAAAAAGTGATGCGAGGAGTGATGTGTATTGAAGACACCCTGCATCCTACATGCCAGAAACCGTACGTAGTGCTTTACTCTCTTTTATTTAATCTTCACAACATCCCATGATATATGTATTTTATTATTCTCAATTTACAGATAAGAAATTTGAGGCTCAGAGAATTAGAGGGGATAGTTCCTTTTAGTTTTGGAGGAGAGACTTTTTTTTTAAAAAAAATGTTCCCTGAGTAGAATTTCCTAGTGAATCACTCACAAATCTGTTTAAAAATTTTCCTCTCCCTTAGGCAGCAATTATACTATCTCTTATTTTATTGACTTACTAAACAACTATTTATGGATTACCTACTATGTGCCAAGTACTATTCAGGGGCCTGGGGACACAGGTGTAAACTAAACAGGGAGCTTAATTCTAATAAAGGGAGACAGATAGTAAAGTAAATAAATAAGTAAAATATATAGTGTCATATGGCATTAAATTCAATGCAGAGAAAAAGCAGGGAAGGAGAATATGTTTTACCAGGTACAAGGGGAATACATGAGATTAGTTAGTTAAGGCCTCATTGATAAAGTGAATTTAAGAAAAGACAACTTGGGATTTTTTAAAGTTTTATTTTATTTTTGACTGACAAATAATAATTGCATGTACATACGGGGTACAATGTGAAGTTTCGATACATGTACACATTGTGAAATGATCAAATCAAACTAATTGGCAAATCCACCACCTTGGATATTTATCATTTCTTTGTGGTGAGAACATTTAAAATCCTCTCTATTAGCTATTTTGAAATATACAATATATTACTGCTAACATAGTCACCATGCTGTGCAATGGAACACCAGAACTTTTTCCTCCCATCTAACTGAAACTTTGTGTCTTTTGACCAACATCTCCCTGGTCTTGATCCAGCCCCTGTCCCCAGCCTCTGGGGATAACCCCTGTTCTACTTCCCACTTCTATGAGTTCAACATTTTTAGATTTCAAGATGACTTTGAAAAGGGCACCTGCGTTACTGATCTGTGGGGGAAGAGAATTCCAGCCCTAAGGCAGGAGAATGCCTGGGGTGTCTGAGGAATGGCAAGGATACCAGGGTCACTTGAATGGTGGCAAGGGTGGAAAGAACTGCAGAGACGTTGGGAAGGTCGGATCACATAGAGCCTTGAAAGCTTTTGCAATGCTTTTGGCTTTGGGTTAAGTGAGAAGAGAAGCCACTGGTAAGTTTTGGATGGGGGTATAACACTCTGTGGTTTAAGTTCTCAAAGGACCCCTCTGGAAGTTATAGTAAGAGTAGCCTACAGGCGAACATAGATGGCAGGTGAGTGACCAGTCAGACTAAAGGATCATTTTGCCTGCTATGTTGAGATTAATTTATAAGGGACCAAACTGGAAATGGAGAGCCAGTATGACTTGTTTATGTGATTGCTATTCACCTCAGCCTTTCCAGCTCTTAAGACTTAGTCTCAAATAGGGTTCATAGAAGCTCCTTCTAGCAGTCCATGCAGCCAATTCCCATAGTTGTAAATAGGTTTTATTCAAAAACCATCGTGTGTGTTACCTGGTGTGGAGGATGTATTCCACCAGCTTTTGCTGAATTCTGCAGTCGTTCCTTTCCTTACGTCTTCACATACCCTCATTTGACCTTCATTATTTTGGCAACCTTCCTCCTTTTTTGTGTGTCTTGGGGTTTCAAGATGTCTCAAAGCTGCATTACAGATGGAGATGGGCTTCTGTTTGCTGTTCTTACTTGTGGGTGATTTCCTTTCCTTTCTGCCAATCTGGGCTTCCATAAGCAATCACCTTCACTTCTGCCCGAAGAATTTCTCCTGGCATTTGTTGTAGTGCAGATTTTCAGAACGTGCATTCTCTCAGCTTTGCTTTTTTGCCAACTTTAATATGGTCTTGTATTATTTTTCTTTTAGTCCTTTAAAGTTGTCATTCTGTACTATGACCTCTGTTGTTTGTAATGAGAACTCAGCCTTCATTCTTATTGATATTTCCTTGAATTAATGTACCAAACATGACTTTCTCATTCGTGTTCAGCAGTTTGACTATGATGTACTTAGTTTAGGTTTCCACTATATTTATCTTGCTTGGGGTTCACTGAACTTTTGAATCTCTTGAGTACCACAGATCTTAAACACTGATCAGTTTTTGTTTCTTTTCTCCTTTTTTGGGGGGGATGATTTTTTTTCTTGTGCTTCAGTATGAATAAATTCTATTGACTTCTCTTTAAGTTTACTCTTTCTTCAGCTGTATGCAGTCTACTGTTAAGCCCTTGATATAAAGTCTTCATTTCTGATATTGTATTTTCAGTTCTGTAATTTCCATTTAGTTCCCTCTTAGAGTATCCGTTTCTCTACCAAAATATCCCATCTGTTCATACACGTTGTTCACTTTTCTTCCATGAGACTCTTTAACATATTCATCATAGTTATCTTTTAAAAGCCTTGTCCAATCATTTCAAAATCCATGACATCTGTGAGTCTGCTTTCATTGACTTATTCCTCTTTTGATTTTGGATCACATTTTCCAGTTTCTTTGACTGTCTCATAACTTTTTTTATTGTTTGTTACACATGCTGTGTTATCACCTCTTTAAGCTATACTTTCATTTGACCCACAGGTTTAGTTTCTTCATGCACTGCCAGAACATTTCTGCTCTTTGTCTTTCATTTGTTAGCATGTCTTTCCTTGCATTTTTGTCACATCTGTATTTTTGAATGCCTCTTGGAAATAGTGAGCTGGTTTATTTTATGTGTGTGTGTGTGTGTGTGTGTGTGTGTATTTTTTTTACATCGTCCTCCATTTATGGTTCCCAAGGCCATGCTGGGGTCATCTGCACTTCAGTCTCAGATGGTAGGAGAAATCAAGGAGAACTGCATGAACATATTTCTGTGGCAAGGCATGGAAGTAATGTTCATCATATAAGTGTTTGTGTTCCCCTGGACAGAGGTCAGTTACATGGTCCATCACACAGTAATGGGAGGCTGAGATAGTAGGCTGTGTGTCCCAGAGAAGAGAGAGGATTTCTGGAGAACATACAACCAGTCTTTGCCATACAGGACTTCTCCCATGTGAGTTCTTTGATGTCTGTCTGCTGAAGAGTGACTTCAGAAAAAAAGATGTTTCTACATTCATTAAGTGAGGCTTTCATAACTGTGGGTTTTGAATCTATGGATTCACCAACAGAGGATCAAAAATATTAGAAAAAATATAATAAAAATAATACAAATAAAAAACACAGTCTAACAACTATTTAGATAGCATTTACTTTATATTAAGTATAAGTGATCTACAGATGATTTAATGTATACGGGTGGACCTGCATTATGTTACATACAAATACTACATCATTTTATATAAGGGACATGAGCATTGACAAATTTTAGGGGGATCCTGTAAATCCTCTGCAATTACCAAGGGACAGCTGTACTTTCATCATGTTTCTCCCTTGTGTGAATTATTCAATGCATCCTGAGATATGACTTCTGACAAAAGGTTTTTCCACGTTCATAGCATTTTTCCTGTGTGAGTTTTCTGCTGCATCTGGAGGTATGAATTCTTATGAAAGGCTTTTCCACACTCATTACATTCATCGGGGTTTTCCCCTGTGTGAGTTCTGTGATGCTCAGTGAGGTGTGACTTACTGTAGAGTGATTTCCTACATTCTTTACATTTATATGGTTTCTCACTTATGTGAATTCTTTGAGTTGTGATTTACCGTAGAAAACATTCCCACATTCTTTATATTCATAAGGTTTCTCTCCTGTGTGAGTTCTCTGATGGATATTGAGGATGGCTTCCTGCAGAATTTCTTTCACTGCATTCAGTGTTTCTCTTCTGTGTAAATTCTCTGGTGAATCCCAAGGCATGAATTTTGGTGGAAGGTTTTTGCACGTGCAGTACTTTCACAGGGCTTTTCCCTTGTGTGAGTTCTGTGACGTTCAGTGAGGTGTGACTTGTGGTTGAAAGATTTCCTACATTCTTTACGTTCCTACCTGTGTGAATCCTCTGATGTACAGAGAGGGCTGACTTACAGTATAAAGTTTTCTTACATTCTTTACATTCATATGGTTTCTGATGTGTGAGTTCTCTGATATAAAGCGAGGGCTGATTTTGACAGGATTTCTCACATTCAGTACAATCATAGGGCTTCTTGTATGTGTTCTCTCATATTTGGTAAGCTATGATTTTTTAATGAAGGATTTTTCACAGTCACTACATGTATAGGTTTTCTGTGCTGTGTGTATTCTCCAATGTTTAGTTTTTTATTCTCTGATATTTAGACTTTTTATAGAACGTTTTCCCATATATATGACATTAAAAATTTTTCCTCCATGCTTGGAATATCTGTTGGACAATGAGCACTGATTTATTGAAGGAGTTCCCATATTCATTCTATTTACAGGTCACTCCCATATGAACCCACTTATGTGTCAATAAAATGGACTAGGTGTTCAAAGCTTTTCCTAATCTACTATATTTGAAAAGCTGCTGCCCAGTTTTAATCTTGGAATGATGACTCTAACATGCTCACCATGTCTGAGGGATTTTCTAGTCATTACAGGCAAAAGGTTCCTTTCCAGCATGTGTCTCATCAGGCTCTCAAGGAGGAAGTATATTCTGATGCACATTAAACTCCTCATATCTCTTTCCTGAATAGTTTCTACTATTTATAATTAGATTTAAAGTATGATTTGAGCTCAAATAAAACGCTTCCTAACTTAACTCTGTCCTCAGTTGATGTTTTGTCACTGGTGATTACAACTTGCCACAAATGTCTACCATGGCTTTCTTGGTTCCTCTTAATTAAGTCACAACTGTCTGGTCATCTTGTAGGCTCTGGTTTGGGGGTTCTTCTACCATCTATGGCTCTGTTCCTTGCTCCAACTGGAAAATCACTTCAGGTTTGATAATGTGGTGCCCCAACGACACCAGGCTGCTGTAGTTCTCCAGCATCACGTCCCTGTGTAGGGTCGTCTGAGCATTATTCAGGTCCTGCCACTTTTCCTAGGTGAAGTCCACAGCCACATCCTCAAATGACACCAACCCCAGATATTTATTCATTTTTCTCTTGCTCTTGAAAATGCATAGAGCACTCTGGAAGCATAGCTTCAGGGATGCAGAGTTTAATCTTTCAGTCTGAGGAGCAGCAGGGAGACAGCCACAGGGTCTAGATGTCCCAAGTGAAAGATCAGTGAGCTGGTTTATTGTGACAACCAAGGGCCTGACTCAAAAACACTTGCAATCTAATTGGAATCTTAATGCTTCAATTCTTCTGTTTTGGAGAATTCTGGCTCACAGCAGTGAAGGTTGAGATCAGGGTGGTAAGAGTAGTCAGGGAAGGTATTAGGAAGGATGTGTGACTTGAAGAGTGGGTTAGATATTGACCAACAGAGAGGAAAGGGGAAGCATTTTTGGCAGAGAGAACAAAAAGCAGAAGGGATAAAGAGAAATAAATATGACATTTACAGGTCTGTAAAGAGATGAGTGTGATGAGGAAGAGTTTGTATAAGATCGTGGAAAATTATGATGAAAAAATTTCTTTTTAAAACACTCTCCTTTTCCTGCCTGTTTTTTTTCCCTTATGATTAAGCAACATGAGTGATATAAAACTATTCCAGCACTTCTATACAAGGAACTATCAATCATATTTCCTGCCCTAATATCTTTATATTTGAGCCTCCATGCTCAATAACCTAATCATCATATAATTAGGATGTTTTCCATTTAGATTTGATTCTTCCTCACCAAACTAGATTAATACTTATCTCCAATATGTCAAAACAAATGATAGGAAAATGAAAAAAGTCAACAAATGATTGTTTTCTCTCTGAGGGATTATGAATAACTTTTCAGTAAATTGAATCATTGTTTTACAAAACCTACCAATCAACAGAGTGGAAATAATTGAAGTGTCTATGTAAATGGCAGTGAATCATGAGACCCATCATAATTTATCATTTTGTCAACTGCCAAGCCAGAAATTATTTTCTCTTCCATAGAATGACCTTTACATTTTCAACTCTGTCGGACTTCTAACACATCAAAAACTCCATCAATATTCTACAAAGAACAAATAATAATCACAAAAGGTGTCTGCTCTATGGTAAAAGGAATTCTTGACAGGTTCCTCCCTAAATAAAAATAAATGGAATGGCTCCCATAAAATTTATGTGGTCCACACAGAAATAGTTGGACTACATCAAGACCTCAAAAATGTCTGGTTAAAAACACAAGAACCACACTAGGATAAACTTCCTATTGATGAGATCTCTCAGATCATGGAATACACATCAAGAGAAGTCTTGGGAAGCTTATCACCAGAAACTTTGAGAAACACACTGGACAAAACACTAAAAAGTAAAAATAGCAATCTCATTTAATGTGGAGGCAGAGCACAACTCCATCTCCAAATACTAAGATTTCAGAGTTTTGTGTATTATGAATTCACTTGGATTTGTGCTTGCTGTCCAAAGCTGTTTCTTCCGTTCTACATTATGTAGGCATATCTTGCACCTGTGTTTTGGGTTCAGCATTTCTGACTCAGATTTTTAATAATCACTGAAAAGAAAAGAAGATGCTGTTTTCTAGAACCCCCTGTCTGAGTCCCAGTGTTTCGGTGGCATGCTCGGCACTGGTGATGGAATTCTGCCTTCACCCCCCTCCAGTCTGCTGTGGGGAAAGGGGCTGGGTTTGTGAGAGGGCTGGCTAGAACAAGGCTGCCTTCTATGACTTTGGAAATACAGAAAGTTAATTAGGTTGCCTGGGGATTGAACTCATAACCTATTCCTTATTAACGTCATTCTATTCATGCCATCATATGTAGAAGTAAATTGCTCTTTAAGAAACCAGTGGTACTTAAATTTGAATAACTGTCATGACTAGTTTAGTCATAAAATGATTAAAATCATAATCCATTGTGGAAGTAAAAAAAATGACTACGAAGACACAGATAGTAGTAATAATGTGGTATATTTGAATAGTGAGACCTCATGCTTAAAAGTAGAAGATGGTGTTTTATGTTTGGGAGTTATTTAACCCAGAAAATCATACTCTGCCTGTATGCTTTGACTAAACAGACTATTAATGCTTTCATAAGAAATATGTGAGTTAGGCATACCTTTAATGTAAGCACCTTAAAATGTTATTTGTGTCATCTTTCAATCTGTGTCCCCTCCTAGACTTTGGAGACGAACCATTTCTTTTAATATGTGCATCCCAGATTCCTACTCAGTTCTTTTATACCCTTTAATGGTTGTTTATACACTCAGTGCCTAAGAAACTGAGAGTTCAGTATCTGGTTTATTTGCTTCTTATTTTTGCCATATATGTATTACATGGGAATGGAGCTGAAGTAAACAAAATGAAAGAAACATTTCATACAGATATGGCAATAAATTAGTTATTTCGTGTGGACCTAGTTAAGGCTTCAAAGTACCTTTACCAAGTCACTAACACTTCATTGGCCACAATTTGTGTAATCAGGGATCTCTAGATATATAAATCATTTAGAAGATTTCTGCAAATGAGTGTGGTATATTCAAATTAATTGATCACAAAACTGTCAAGTCTTCATTCTTATGAGTGGGATGATTAGCACATTTTGCTCCCTATCAGTTGCATAAGTCAAACTAGCTTGTGCAGTTCTAGTGTTTGTAAATATTTTATGTGGTTGGCATGTGATTCAGGAGCTGTCTGCCACGGCTGTGGGTCACTGATGTGGTTCTTGTGTTGTCCACAAGATATTTATAAAATTCAGATGTGGTTTATGTATCACTGATGTGGTCTGCACATGCCTTGAATTTTTTTCATTTGTTTTGTTTGTTTGTTTCTTTTGTTCTCAAGGAGGACTCATTTGGAATTCCTTACTCTGCAGCATTTGGGGTTTTCTGAAGGCTTGCAACATTGAAGAGAACAACCCCATCATACTAGGAGAGAAGGAACTACAGTCTTTGATGGCAGGTTGACAAAGGTACTCTGTCCCTGGAGTCATTTTGTTATCTGACCACAGTACTGTATTCTGCCAAGTAGACTGAGACCACCTACCTGCACATTGAAAACACAGCTGAGATCTGTCTCTGTGACCCAGACACATGCCCTCTTTACTCTCTGTACTGAAAGAAAACAGCATAGTCCAGGCCAGATGAAAACAAGCACCCCCCCCCCCCCCCCCCACTTTTTCTGTGGGAAAGATGAGTTGAAACCAAAGTTAATATATTTGAAAAATCTAGGGAAAAAACAGAACAGATTTTTAAAAAGCTGTTTCTTTACCCATTGGTATTTTACTTGCAGGAGTCTTACAAAGAAAACTTCTGTTACAGTGGAAAACACTGAGTGAAACCCATGTCATATGAGACTTTCATTCCCTGGAGCTGGGAAAGTGAAAGAATTGGGTCCCTATATTCTTGGACTGTTGTCATTAGTTACCAAGAATGTTTACGCAATTGGTAATAACCACCTCATTAGAAATCCCCTTCATCTGCTGGATATAGTTAACACAAGTCAGGTGAAGCTGATTTTTAATAAGCAGTATTGTTATGTTATATGCAACAGATGTTTAAGGACAGATAGAATAATTGGTTTGTTCCTGTTAATTTTTCTAAATTTTTTTTGCATCAGCTGTATATCTGTACTATTATTCCAATAATTCAACCTTGCTCAACATCATTTAATCAATGATGTAATATGATTTTATCTTAATGCTTTCCTCTTGGAAGAGGGACATTCAGCACAAGATATCCGATTTTATGCAATGAACTCACAGACCCTGGGCCAATCTAGAGGAACCATTGGCTGGTATAAAGCTAAATCACCTTATATAATTCCTATCTATAGCCTCTTCCATTTTCTTAATCAATCACTAAACTACTAGAAAATTCAATTCAACAATACCAAAATAAAAACTGTTAGGCTATTTGATATTTTGCATGATGACATCCCCTCTCCACCAAGAGCAGAGGTTAGTTTTATCAGATTAAAAAAATTCATTTAACAGAGTGAACTTTAGATCACTGTTTTTCTAATTTTCTGGAGTGTGACTCACATTAAGAAATACATCTTGCATTGGTGTAGGGAAAATGAAGGAAAATA